AAAAAAAAAATACCTCAATGAAGGGTTGGGGGTTTAGCTCAGTGGTTCTGCCTGCCTCACAGGCGCAAGGTCCTGAGTTAGATTCCCGGGACAAAAAAAAAGAAAAGACTCAGTGAATTAAAATTGCCAATCAAAAGTCATAGTCAGGTTGAAGAAGGATGTATTGTCTCCTAACTCGCATTTTCTCTGTGTCCCTTGCCACAGTTATTGACCCTGGAATAAGTTGCTCCTTGGTCTGGGTGCCACATTTACTTTCTCTGATGACACCTCTCTTGGAACACAAGGTAATCCTGGATGCTGGGATCTGTTTTACGTCACTTCATGTTTCCCCTGCCTGTCGGTCACTTTTGTTTCATCTCAGTGTATGATAACTCAGCTGCTGCTGGAGAATTGTTAAGTGATTTTTTTTTTCTCTGCCTGATGGCTCTGGACGGAAAGATGAAAATGCAGCCTCATCCCTTAGCAGGCAAAAGAAAAGGTATACTTTCTGAGCCATAGGTGGTTCACATTCGTAAAAAACCTGAACCTACACGAAGCATTGCCTTAGTTAGTCTCTGGTCACCGGGACAAGCTATCAACACTCAAACTTACAGGAGTAGGGCTTTACTTTGGTCTTGGTTGCAGTTCATGGTTGCCTGGCTCCAAGGCCGAAATGGCATGATGGAAAGAAAGGTACAGAGAAGCAAAGCGTCTCACATCACAACAACCAGGAAGCAGGGGGAGGAGGGAGGAGCCAGGGAGAGAGAGGCACCTTTTGAGTCATATCCCTTGTAACCCGCCTCATCCAATAGGCCCCATCTCCTAGCATCACATTTGGCCATCAAGTAATCAGTGGTGCTCGTGACCCAGTCCCTTTCCTAAACACATGAGATATTTTGGAGGGTTTTACATCTAAACAGTAACAGGTATCACAACAACCCATTTGAATGCAATGATCTTGCTTTCCTAGGGTATCATTTATCCCTTCTGAAGCTTTGGTTATTTTTCAACCTCCTTACAGCATTAGGAGTTACTGGTGATTTGCCCAAATCTCCAGAGTGTTAGCTGTACAGAGGATATTTAGAAGATTTGAGGAGGGTGGGATGATGGATGTCATTTTTTTGCCTCTCCTAGAAAGTGAATCTGATCATACTATTCACTTGACTAAGAACCTTCAGACACCTCCAGTTACTATTAGAATAAATAAAATCTAAACATCATTCCACAATGTATGAGATCTTTCATTGCAGCTTTTCCTTATATTTCCAGATACCTACACATGCACACATGTACACACACACACACACACACAGCTTTAGCAACAATAATCTTCCCCCAGTTGCTGGAAGGCACCATGGTTTTTCTGGCTTATATCATTTTTCTCTCTCTCTTTCTCATTCCTCTCTGTCTTTGGTTTCCAGGAACCAAGAGCCACATGTTAGCCCAATGCTTGATTCCAAACAATGGCATTGTCTCTGTCATTAGACAAAGTGACAGCTGAGTGGTCAACCTGGAGGACTTTATGCATAGAAAATTCAGTATAGCCCACTCTTTCTGTAAAGGGTCTATGGAGCCCACCTATGTGCCATAGATATTTGTCTGAGAGATGGTGAAGTTTCTTGGTAGTTAAACTTCATTCAGTTTAAGAATAGCTAGCTTTGCCAATTTAATCATTTATTCAGAACATTTCTTGAGCATGTACTGTGAGCTAGGCATTGTGCTTAGACCCAAGGAATCAATAGTGACCTAAGAAGACCCACTCTTACATCACAGATCTGGAAGCTGCTTATTGTAGAACTCCACAACAACTACAGCACCTCTTGCCTGGCCTAGGACATGAGTGAGCCCCTTTCTGGGTCCAGAGGAGCACAGTTTCTATTAAAGTTGTAGACTCAACCCATATTAGGAGCTTAGGTTTTCTGATTATTTTTTTTTGCTATCTCTCAGTGTGTCACCTAACCCAATATTTGCTCAAAAATTACTTACAAATGGAAAGAGTCATTGAATACAAACAAGAAAGCTCAGGTAGATGTGACCACAGACAAGTTCTTCAATGAATAATGGATTTGCTTTTCCACAGAGGGAAGAAATATGATGTAGTTAGCACTGAATAAGGATTCTGTTATAAAAATCACCCATGCTTTAAGTGTACTTGCTTTTATTTCCTGCCATCACACCAGAGCTTCACTTTACCCCCTAAGATCAAATGTTATCCTTTCCTTTTGGTCTTCCATCACAATAGTCTCTCCACCTCTTAAGGCTTTGTTTTTTGGCTGTTACTTTTATTTTCTCTTGACCCAATAGTTGTGTATGTTTGATGCATATGTATATTACTCATGATCATATTAGTGTCATTATGGTAGCCATAACCTTAAACACTGCTTATGTCTTGGAATGAGGACATTCAAAATCCTCTCTTCAGGATATTTTAAAATTTGCAATGCTATATCTATAGCTGTAGTCACCCTCCTGTGTAGTAGAAATCACAGCTTATGCCTCTGAACTAACTGTAACATTGTATCTATTGACCAACTCCACAGCAGGGAGCCTTCCTTCTCTCCCCAGGGTGTGGTAATCACTATTTCACAATCAACTTCAATGAGATAAAATTTCTTATAACCCACATACCAAAGAAACCATTGGATATTTTTTTCTTAACTTGGCTTATGTCATTTACCTTAATGTCAACTCATCTATGTTTGTGCAAATGGCTAAATTGCATCATTTTATGTGGTGCAATAATATTCCATTGTGGATGTGGCACTTTTTCTTTATCAATACATCCACTGATAGACATTTATGTTGATTTCAATATTTGGCTGTGCTACAGTAGCATGGGGTGTAGATGCTTCTTCACCATGCTGGTTTCATTCCTTTTGGATATATACCAAGAAGTAGAATTGCTGGATCATAAGGTATTCTAATTTTAACATTTTAAGGAATTTACATACTGTTTCCCAAAGTGGCTGTATTAAATCATATTTAAAGTAACAGTGCATAAGAATTCCCCTTTCTCTGCCTCCTTGTCAGCATTTGTTAGTTTTTGTCTCTTTGGTATTAGCCATTCTAATAGGAGTGAAGTGATACATCATTGTGGTTTTTGTGCATTTCCATGTTGTGTTAGTGAGGTTGAGCATTTTACTATATTCATTAACCATTTCTATATCTTCTCTTGAAAATGTCTATTCATATCTTCAGGCAATTTAAAAATTGGATTACTTAGATTTTTTTTCTTTTTTTCCCCCATTAACTTTATTGGTACATTTTAGGTATAAAATACAGTTACAGTCATCATTGGGATCTTCTACCATTACATGAGTCTCTTGGTTCTTATTTTTTCCCCTTCCCTTGCCCTCCCTTCACCCCCTCCACCCTTCCCTATTTGCAAAGACATTGTTTCCATTTATTTCCTCTTCTCATATTTTTTCCTTTCCCTTTTTTCCCTTCCCCTACCCCTCCCAATTCCCCTGCTCTTTTAGACCTTTTCTTCCTGTTACACAATATCAGTTATACATTTTTAAAATTACAATAT